GATGGTAAGTAATATGCCTTAAAAATAAAAAATAATAACACTGAAAATTTTATCAATAATACAGCTAAAAATTATTTGAAATTTTAATTATAAATGACTTTTGATATCATCATTTATAAATGTTGCAGCTCTTCGCGTTTAAGAGAAGCAGGAGAGAAAAAAATTAAACAAGAATAATAGTTGAAACTAAAATTGTCAAAAATCAGGTGTGAACAAGCACTTAATCCGATAGCTTGAAGAGTTAAAAATACACTTTTTAAAAACACTTGTCATGTGTATAATAGAGATTTTGACAGATCGTGATACAGCAAGAGGATCGCCTCGAGTCAATAAGGCGTTTTGTACTTCGATATAACGTCAGGAGAAACACTGTCTTGAAAAATTCATTTGTATATACTTGTCTAAATAAATAAATAAATATTACCAGAGTTAAAATTCCATTTATTGTTTGTCATAAAATACTAAAGCATAACGAGCAAGATAAATAAAATTAACCTATATGATTCCGTTTATTGAGTTTAATACTCGACCGATTTTTCTCAAGAATTTAAATATGTTACATCTGATAAAATCTCATTAAAGTAATCGATTAAATTTAAATAAATCGATCATTTTAAATGATATTTAATGAAAATTTTCTATGGTTAAGAAAATAGGAAACTATTCCAAATACATACAGATTTAAAGTATAAAATTCAAATTAATTAAACTTTTATAAATTTAATTCATAAATCTGTATAAAAATTATAACAAATTTTATTTAATTTATGGTTATATTTACTAATATCACTATTTAAATTTGGTTAAAAAAATAAATAAGTAATAAAAAATTTTTAAAAAGTGATTTAAATAATTAGAAAAGAATTTAAATTATTTTAATGATATTATTGATACTGCTAATATTTATGTAAGTTATTAATAAATGCAGATATATAAATGATTATACAACTTCAAATTTGAATTTTTCTATATATTTTTAAAATTATTTGTGTGTTAATTATATTTTAAGTATATAAAGATTAATTTAAAAAAAAAAAAATTAATTCATTTTAGAAGTAAGAGTAACAGTCTGAATTCTAGTATCACAGATTATAATGGCATGTGATTATAGTGCTCTATAATCTGTCAATTCCAATTACATCTATTAACATCTATAAAATTCATTTTTATAAAGTGTTGGTGAATTAGCATTTATTGTATTTGAATTATTGTTTTTATTCAATATATTTCAATTAATATTTTAATATACACATAGAATCTCTTCTTTTAATAATAATTGTTTTTTTAAATGCAAATAAAAATTTATAATAATTTTTTAAAATTCGTTTATAATTTTTTATCCATACTTTAAAATTACATGTTTAAAAAAAAAGAAAGAAAGAAAGAAAATCCTTTCAAAAATTGCAATTTATCAATATTGCCATCTGGAATTCGTAATCCGAACTACATGAAATAATTAAAAATTAAAGTAAATTACAGAAAAAAAATTGTAAAAACAAAATTTATAAGGTATGAAGACTTGTGTTATAAAAATTTTGTTGTTAACAGTGAGAATTACCGAGTAAATTTATATTAAAAAAACTTTTAATGCTTATTTATTTATTTCCCCAATTTATTAAGAAATAAGTAGGGAAATAAAAAAAATACCATTCAAGCTGAATATGAACAGAAGTAACTAAAGAGCTGGGTCTTGATGAGGGAGGAACTGGAGAAAATTTAACAGCCTTTATTAGGTCTATTCCTATGAATTAATCTTATTTTTACTGACAAAAAATCTTTAAACTGCTTTTTATTAATGAAGAAACATTCAGTGCATTTCATCTGTTCAAAAGAAAAAAAAACAATAGCAAAAAGAACCGCTCTACCCCCGGGCTTTAGACAACCTCTCGACAGCTCTGCTAAAGGGTTGGCAGGGATAAATTTCTCTGGATCAGAAAAAAGTATTAGACCCTAGACGAGCCACTAAATAACAAAATTATAGCACCAGAGAAATGCTTTAAGGAAAGTAAGAGTGGAAAAGGAATTTTTATCATTGTCTCTCCTCACGCCTAAAGGATTTCCTGACCCTGTTTTATGTAAAAATTTAACTAAACTAAAACTCTTTCTAAGATGATAAAAAATAAAATAAGGTTTTATTTATAAATAAATAAGCATATATTAAAGCAAAAAAAACTTTCATGTGATACATTGACTTAAAATACATGTTACAAGTTTAATTCGAGAATATCAAATTTACTTCTACTAGTTTTTTTTTTTTTTTTTTTTTTTNTGATATTAAATCCTGAAATATGTATGCAAATTTAAAAAAAAAAAAAATTAATTCATTTTAGAAGTAAGAGTAACAGTCTGAATTCTAGTATCACAGATTATAATGGCATGTGATTATAGTGCTCTATAATCTGTCAATTCCAATTACATCTATTAACATCTATAAAATTCATTTTTATAAAGTGTTGGTGAATTAGCATTTATTGTATTTGAATTATTGTTTTTATTCAATATATTTCAATTAATATTTTAATATACACATAGAATCTCTTCTTTTAATAATAATTGTTTTTTTAAATGCAAATAAAAATTTATAATAATTTTTTAAAATTCGTTTATAATTTTTTTATCCACACTTTAAAATTACAGGTTTAAAAAAAAGAAAGAAAGAAAGAAAACCCTTTCAAAAATTGCAATTTATCAATATTGCCATCTGGAATTCGTAATCCGAACTACATGAAATAATTAAAAATTAAAGTAAATTACACAAAAAAAATTGTAAAAACAAAATTTATAAGGTATGAATTTATAACACAAGTCTTCATACCTTATAAATTTTGTTAACAGTGAGAATTACCGAGTAAATTTATATTAAAAAAAACTTTTAATGTTTGTTTATTTATTTATTTCCCCAATTTATTAAGAAATAAGTAGGGAAATAAAAAAATACCATTCAAGCTGAATATGAACAGAAGTAACTAAAGAGCAGGGTCTTGATGAGGGAGGAACTGGAGAAAATTTAACAGCCTTTATTAGTTCTATTCCTATGAATTAATCTTATTTTTACTAACAAAAACTCTTTAAACTGCTTTTTATTAATGAAGACACATTCAGTGCATTTCATCTGTTCAAAAGAAAAAAAAAACAATAGCAAAAAGAACCGCTCTACCCCCGGGCTTCAGACAACCTCTCGACAGCTCTGCTAAAGGGTTGGCAGGGATAAATTTCTCTGAATCAGAAAAAGTATTAGACCCTAGACGAGTCACTAAATAACAAAATTATAGCATCAGAGAAATGCTTTAAGGAAAGTAAGGGTGGAAAAGGGATTTTTATCATTGTCTCTCCTCACGCCTAAAGGATTTCCTGACCCTGTTTTATGTAAAAATTTAACTAAACTAAAACTCTTTCTAAGATGATAAATAATAAAATAAGGTTTTATTTATAAATAAATAAGCATATTAAAGCAAAAAAAAAAAACTTTCATGTGATACATTGACTTAAAATACATGTTACAAGTTTAATTCGAGAAAATTTGTATTGGAAACATTATCACTATTGTTCTAAAGTTCGAAACGTTCGAAAAATAGAGCCAATGAACAGTTACAAAAATAAACAACCAGCGAGTTGCTTAACTTTTTCGACACTTAAAATTTTGGTGGCGCCATCTATTATCATATTTAAAATATTTTATATTTTTAACTATTATAAAATGACAAAAAACTTAATTTTGAGGGTAGGGATGGTTTTATTAAAAATTGTAAATGCTAACGAGTAAAATCGTCATTAAGTCCAACCACACACGACTCCCTTCTATCTCCCTATCCCGTTGACCTTTAGCCACCAAAATTTAATAGCGTCAATCCCTCTAATACACAAACCTCCCTGCAAAATTTCAGAAATTTTCGACAAAAAGCACAGCAGTTATTAAGCTTCAAACAGGATGAACAAAATCGTGCACCACGCACACACACTAACATCCAAACATACAGAAATTACTCCCTAAATTTGTTTGCATTTCTCGACGTTTCAAGGTGTCCCTGAGTCCAAATAAGCAAAAATCTCGGGGAGTCATTTTTTTCCGGACCGCCATATTTTCCCTATGTTATAACAGCCGGAAAAGTAACAAAAGTGGAAATTCCAATCTTTATAACAGTTATTTAAATAATTTCGTTTCGTCAAAAGTGATTTGAATTAACAAATCTTTAATTGTAATTAATTTTTTAATGATTAAAATTCACTAAATAAATCTGTTTTACATCTTTAAAGACATTTTTTATAGATTTTTTTATCCCAATAAAAATGGACTAGGACATTTATTATATTATATAAATTACAAAATATTTTATTGATTCAACTTCACCTATTAACTCTACATAAAAATCAACCAGTATAAAATGATGGATCATCATCTAGTTCTCTAAAGAAAGTACTGTACTGAACAATCGAACCAAATTTCTGTAATTTGTCCAATAATACACTGATCAAACAGAGAATATTCTCATTTAACCTTCCTCTGTACACTGTAATTTGAATAATGTTTAACGATGTAATTGTAATGAGTTTTACAATAGCGGATATTGAAAGCCGGAATTCGATTTTACAATTCGTGATACTAAATTGAATAATTTGTGATTCAATCACGCAAATTATATCATTTTAATTCACTACAACAAAGCATGACAATGAGATTTATAAACTTAAAATGTATATTATTACACAACATTACTAACTTATCTAAATCCAAATCAAATTTGAAAGGCAAGAGACATTAAAAAAAATTTAAATTCTTTATAAATATTTTTAAGTAGATAAAAATAATAATTTATTCTGATTTTAGCAACAACTAGAAAATTCACTCGAATAGACATTTTGCTACATACATTAGCCAATATAGATGGCGCTACACATTTCTAGCGCCATGTAAATGATGGATGTCGCTACAAACACGCAGCGCCATCTATTAATAACAACAAAAACTAACTAACTTCGAAAATATATGGTTTGAAAGTTACCTGGCAGCAACATGTAGAACTGTGGCGCCGTCTTTATCTCTGTCCCATAGTGTACAGTCCGTATGCTTTAATAACCACAACAACGCGGACATTTTACCCATAGCAGCTGCATCGTGGGCAGGTGTGGCACCCACGTAGGACCTAGATGTGGCTTTCATCCCACAAGAGTTTATTAAATAATCTAATACTTTAACGTTCCCGCCTCTGGCTGCATAATGTACACAAGTGGCACCAAATTCGTCATGTATCGACGAAGATAAATCTTGATTTTTTTTAAGTAGCTGCAATCCTTGTAAGTCCCCTTCTCTGGCAGCTACTAAGGCACGATGTAAAATTGGCACTTCAGGCATTTTCGGATGTAGAGTTGGCATATTTTATAGTTTCTTTTTTAGCGATCAATAAGAAAACTGGAAAAGTTCACCTTCACACCGAAAGATGGCGGTATAATAACCATTCTTATTACTTTAAATAAAATATCTGAAAAATAAAATTAATATATATTTATAATTTGTTTTTTATTAGAGACAGGATAAGTTAAATATTTAAAATAACTAAACATAAATATGAAAGGAAAAAAATTGAGAATTTACTTTCTTGTTTTATCAAAAGATGGCGCTATAAAGTGAAAAGTAAACAACTAATTTTTAAAAATATTACATTATTATGTCGTCCGTTGACTGCTTTCAAGTAATATACGATCTTAGAAGCTGTCATTAAAAGTTTATTTTCATTCATCAATAGAAAAAATTCAGTAAAGCGTACATCCTGTATAGCCCGAGGTCGTGTGAGCCACAAATATGGCCGGTATAAATGTCAATTTTTTTGTAATTTTTTGGATGAGTTATCACCAACGGATATCTATCCGCAAAGAAGTAAAAACCAGGAAATTCCTGTTTTCTACTGGCACAAATAGCCAATTTCCACACACGACCCGGTTATTTATGACGACGCAAAACGTCAACCAGGTGTCAGAGTGAACAAAAGTGAAAATTCGACCCCATAACAAAGAGTTTGTCACGTCGGCATCAATGGAAATTACAAAATTTACACTATCTCTAATCGCGCTTTCATAGTTAAAAGCGCTAAGATAATTGTCGCGTACGTCAACGGGTTGACTGATTATAAATAATATACTTAGCAAGGAGAAAACACAATTTTTTTCCACTTTTTTGAAATATTTTCTGCAACATTCGCACCTGTTAGTGCCTGACTATAAGCTAAATTGACCTATTTTTGCGAAAATAAGTACTGTATCATGAATATTAAAAGTCATAAGCGAAATTCATTAAAAATTCTAATAATTATTTGTAAAATTTTCTGTTTTCATTTAATATATAATTTCGATTTTATATTATTCTTACAAAAGACCTTTAGCCACCAAAATTTAATAGCGTCAATCCCTTAAATANGAAAACAAACTCAAAAAGTCTCAAAACTCAAAAAAAAAATAAGAAAAACCAAAATAAAAATTTTATACGATTTCCTACAATTTAATTAAACTGGCAAACTAAGGAAATTGGTGTTTTTATAAGGTTTAAGTACAGTTTTAAAGTCATTTTACGAGTCAATCATTCATTAAATACGGTAAATTTATAAAAATTCAGCAAATATCCTTTCAGTACTTAAGTTTCTTTTTAATAAAAGTACAAGAGGAGGAAGATGTTACTGAAGGATCGACCATGATATAAATAAGAAAACTTTATGTTTAAGAATATCATCTCATTATCCTAATAGGACATTCTAGATGTTAAAGTAAAATTATATATATATAATTCAACACAAAAAAATAAATTTATTAAAGAAAAAAAACTAATAAAATCTAATTCAATTTTTAAATTAAATTATTTTATTATTAATTTAATTTAAATCAGAATAAAAAAATGAGTAGATACTTACTAATTCTTATATAAAAATCTTGTGAAAAATTTTTTAAATTCTTACGTAATTTTTAGATAAACATTTCAATGTTCGAAGCGCGTGTCAGGTAGAAAGAAAATGCGATTTAAACACCAGTGAGTATGGACAAACTCTGATTTAAAAAAGTCAAATGGTGCTGTAATTATTAAATCGTCCGCTGTGTGGTGTTTGCAACTGACGTAACTGTTGCGCTCCACTGATACCTATGAGATGACGTTAGAAGTGCATCATTTCTCTCCCCCTAGCGTCGATCGGTGGCAACAGTCGAACATCTTTTTTATCTTTCCTCGTTTTTTTTCAGGCTGCAATGCTGACTAATCCCTTCCTCGTTTAGTTATTACTTTGACGTAATTTGAATAGGGGAAAAACTTTATTTCGTTTAATTATGCCAAAATTGTAAATTAAAGAATAAACTTTTTTCCTTCAATTTCCAACAGGAAATCTTCAAATATTTTTTTTTTATTTTGGAGGTTTTAAAAAGTTGCAATAAAACACGTTTCCGATTTTTATATGCTTTAAAAGTATCGGTGACGTCATTTATGAGTAACTTTGTTTTGTGATAAAATACAATTTACACTGCGCTATTAAGTCTGTGTGCAAAATAAAAGAAAGAAACAGTTTATTTACAATGTTTAGAATATTTTACACTCCAATATTGATGTAATATCTAAATTTATATACCGCTATTTTCAAGAAAGAAAACTTTGCTTTTCTCATAAGTAGGTTTCTCTAACAAGAACCTGGTTATTTTATCTACTCCAATTCTTTAAAATTCTTCTATGAAATCGGTATTTGAGGTTTGTTTTGGTCTATTTATATAAATAATGGAGTATTAAACTTCGGTCACTTCGTCTTATCCAAACAGGTAAGGATATATGGAACAGGAAAGTTTTTTCTTTTTTTTCAATCTTTTAAAATTCTAAATACGAATACAGATTTATTAAAAAGGGAGATTTTTAGAGGTTATTTATTTTTAGATTTTTGTATATATTCTAAGCGTCATCAAGGTTGAAGGTCTTCCTTCACAAATGAAAAAAAGGGCAAACTTTATCTAATTTTCTGTAAAATTTTATGAATTATAATTATGATTTTTTTAAAAATAAAACTTTAAACAGAGACCTAAAATAGTAAAGTAGAAGATTTTATCATTATAAATATTTATACAGTAAAACCTGTGTAAGGCGGAATCGCACGATATCGAATATTTTTTTCCGTTTAGGCAGGTTTCAGTCTTGTTCGGGTTCCGTTTTGGACAGGTTTTACTATAATTATTAAAGAATTTGATACTTGTAAGGCTCTTGAAAGATTTCAGATCTAAATCATGTGCATTTAATGATATTTCTACACATATCTGAAGTAAGAGAAACTACAAATAGAAGATTAAACAGATAATTAATGTTCAGAATAGCGTAGAATTCGAACTTTTACATTGTTTGAGGAGACCTATTTACTATAGAAATTAACGATAAAATTGGTTTTTATAACTGTGCCAAGGTGTTTCAGAAGAGAGGAGCAATCTTAATAAAGAACAAACTTCGTATCTTATAACTAGAATTCTAAAATAGAGTATTGAACTAATGGGATAAAGGAAAAAAATTTTTTAAATTGCAAATGTTTGAACAAATTTTTGAAATAAACGTTTCACAAAATGCATAATTTAGTTTTAATTTTCCTTAAAGGAGCATCGTGAATGAAATAACTAAACAGATTTATCCTAAATTCTAATCGATGAACTGTCAATCATAGATTAAACATAGCGTAATAAGGAAGATATCTTTTCTGTTGTTTTGTCTGTTAGAAGATGAAGATGGTTTATAGATTTGTTGCTCTACTACCAATAAAATTTCGGCTCAAAATGTTACTTATTTGCCTGACCTCTTTATCTGCTGTCCGTAAAATTATTGAAGAAGCAACCTTAACCACAAAAATCGTGTCAAGGCAAGACTATTTCTATATATCTGACATTTTCATTAGTTTATTTTGTGTACAAATTGAAAAAAAATGCATTTTACATGTTCCTTCTTCACAAATTTAGGCAAAGAATTCAAATATAATGGTACTCATCTGCATCAAATTAAGGAAGTGTAATGTGAATAGGAGTGAATATAAACTTAATATAGGAATTAAGCTTCATTTTAGAGTAAAACTTTGGGACTTTATTCATCTTTCAAGCATCGAATAATTAATTTTGTAATATGAGATACATATATACCTCTACAGGGCATGTTAATTATTTTATGGGGGTAGTAATCTCATGCCTTACAGTATTAATAAGCGCATTTAAGATAAGGACACGCTTACAAATACTTTAAAATTCACTCGATAGTTAATTTACCTGTAGATTAGGGGTAACCTCTCTAGAAATCAAAACAAAATAAATATATAGTTAGTTATCTTACAATGTTTAAAATTCCATCACTGCTTCAGCAACATCCTCAATTTAAGTTTCAGTCCGATGATGTCAACCTAGTTACCCAACCACCCCTTCGAGCATTGTTAACCTTTCAAATTTCCCTCTAAAATCATATAAAATTATAGGAAGAAAAATGCTATCGAATAATTTTCACTGGATTAATTAACTGAAAAGGAAAAAATAATAATAATAAAGTAGCAGCCCCGTTAATTAAGATCGAGATCGATTAATTAATTATACCAAGTGGAAAAATATGCATTACAGGTTTAAGAAAAAAAGGCATTTTTTCCCTGTACTATTTTTAAAAATAATATTCTCATGCTAATTAGAAATGTTATTTTCCCGTTGAGAAGTCATTCAGGAAAATTAATATACCTTTTACTGGTTTTTAATTCGTTTTCACTTCCTTCAACCCCCTTCGATATCGTCGATTTTTCATAAATTACAATCGTAAATTTAGCGCATTGCACTCGAATTTACAAGTGTCAAACTAATTATTCGTTTGTATAAATTAATGTTATAATTTCTTCAGATGTTTATCTATAAAAATACGCTTTTATTTGTGTAATTTATTCATAAATATTAGCTTAAGTACGTTGTCGCACCTAATTGAGTTATGGAATAAAAATAATCAGAGTCTAGAATATTTTCACCAATATAAATTATAAAACCTAGTTTTTAATCAGAAAAATTGCAATTAAATAAATAAATAATCATTAACAATTAAGGATATGGAGAAAAGGTACAGTACATGGTGTACAGCCAACAAACCATCAACCTTTGTAAAGATTAAACATGGTTAAATTTCTGTATTATTCGAATGTTATTTTTAATGTTTCCATAAAAACACGCTTTAAACTTTGCTTACGATTCACAAGTCTACCAGCAACACGTAAAACACGGTTAACAGATTTTTGGATCACCCTGTATATTTAGTCTCAAATTAATCACACGCATTACAATTAAAACTGACTTGATGATGATTGATTAATCAGAATGATGGTAAGTAATATGCCTTAAAAATAAAAAATAATAACACTGAAAATTTTATCAATAATACAGCTAAAAATTATTTGAAATTTTAATTATAAATGACTTTTGATATCATCATTTATAAATGTTGCAGCTCTTCGCGTTTAAGAGAAGCAGGAGAGAAAAAAATTAAACAAGAATAATAGTTGAAACTAAAATTGTCAAAAATCAGGTGTGAACAAGCACTTAATCCGATAGCTTGAAGAGTTAAAAATACACTTTTTAAAAACACTTGTCATGTGTATAATAGAGATTTTGACAGATCGTGATACAGCAAGAGGATCGCCTCGAGTCAATAAGGCGTTTTGTACTTCGATATAACGTCAGGAGAAACACTGTCTTGAAAAATTCATTTGTATATACTTGTCTAAATAAATAAATAAATATTACCAGAGTTAAAATTCCATTTATTGTTTGTCATAAAATACTAAAGCATAACGAGCAAGATAAATAAAATTAACCTATATGATTCCGTTTATTGAGTTTAATACTCGACCGATTTTTCTCAAGAATTTAAATATGTTACATCTGATAAAATCTCATTAAAGTAATCGATTAAATTTAAATAAATCGATCATTTTAAATGATATTTAATGAAAATTTTCTATGGTTAAGAAAATAGGAAACTATTCCAAATACATACAGATTTAAAGTATAAAATTCAAATTAATTAAACTTTTATAAATTTAATTCATAAATCTGTATAAAAATTATAACAAATTTTATTTAATTTATGGTTATATTTACTAATATCACTATTTAAATTTGGTTAAAAAAATAAATAAGTAATAAAAAATTTTTAAAAAGTGATTTAAATAATTAGAAAAGAATTTAAATTATTTTAATGATATTATTGATACTGCTAATATTTATGTAAGTTATTAATAAATGCAGATATATAAATGATTATACAACTTCAAATTTGAATTTTTCTATATATTTTTAAAATTATTTGTGTGTTAATTATATTTTAAGTATATAAAGATTAATTTAAAAAAAAAAAAATTAATTCATTTTAGAAGTAAGAGTAACAGTCTGAATTCTAGTATCACAGATTATAATGGCATGTGATTATAGTGCTCTATAATCTGTCAATTCCAATTACATCTATTAACATCTATAAAATTCATTTTTATAAAGTGTTGGTGAATTAGCATTTATTGTATTTGAATTATTGTTTTTATTCAATATATTTCAATTAATATTTTAATATACACATAGAATCTCTTCTTTTAATAATAATTGTTTTTTTAAATGCAAATAAAAATTTATAATAATTTTTTAAAATTCGTTTATAATTTTTTATCCATACTTTAAAATTACATGTTTAAAAAAAAAGAAAGAAAGAAAGAAAATCCTTTCAAAAATTGCAATTTATCAATATTGCCATCTGGAATTCGTAATCCGAACTACATGAAATAATTAAAAATTAAAGTAAATTACAGAAAAAAAATTGTAAAAACAAAATTTATAAGGTATGAAGACTTGTGTTATAAAAATTTTGTTGTTAACAGTGAGAATTACCGAGTAAATTTATATTAAAAAAACTTTTAATGCTTATTTATTTATTTCCCCAATTTATTAAGAAATAAGTAGGGAAATAAAAAAAATACCATTCAAGCTGAATATGAACAGAAGTAACTAAAGAGCTGGGTCTTGATGAGGGAGGAACTGGAGAAAATTTAACAGCCTTTATTAGGTCTATTCCTATGAATTAATCTTATTTTTACTGACAAAAAATCTTTAAACTGCTTTTTATTAATGAAGAAACATTCAGTGCATTTCATCTGTTCAAAAGAAAAAAAAACAATAGCAAAAAGAACCGCTCTACCCCCGGGCTTTAGACAACCTCTCGACAGCTCTGCTAAAGGGTTGGCAGGGATAAATTTCTCTGGATCAGAAAAAAGTATTAGACCCTAGACGAGCCACTAAATAACAAAATTATAGCACCAGAGAAATGCTTTAAGGAAAGTAAGAGTGGAAAAGGAATTTTTATCATTGTCTCTCCTCACGCCTAAAGGATTTCCTGACCCTGTTTTATGTAAAAATTTAACTAAACTAAAACTCTTTCTAAGATGATAAAAAATAAAATAAGGTTTTATTTATAAATAAATAAGCATATATTAAAGCAAAAAAAACTTTCATGTGATACATTGACTTAAAATACATGTTACAAGTTTAATTCGAGAATATCAAATTTACTTCTACTAGTTTTTTTTTTTTTTTTTTTTTTT